CCCAGCATTCAGGAGGCAGAGGCAGGTGGATCTCTGTGAGTTCAAGGCTGGCCTGGTCTACATAGTGAGTTCCAAGCCAGCTGGGGCTACAGGGAGACCCTGTCTCAAAAAGACTAAAAACAAATTTTTTTTTTTAATTTGTTTTTATTGTGTGTGTATGAGTGTATCACCGGCATGTGTGTAAGTGCACCTGTGTTGTATAATGCCTGCAGAGATCAGAAGAGGGTGTCAGATCTCCTGGAACTGGAGTTATGGACAGTTGTTAGCCAACATGTAGGTGCTGGGAATCGAACCCAGGTCCTCTTCAAGAACAGCCAGTGCTCTTAACTGCTAAGCCATCTCTCCAGGCCCCTAAGGGACAGACTTTCATTTCTTTGGAGACTGCTACTATAATTCCCATCAGCTTTCTTTGGTTTTGGCTCAACAGCCCCAACAGATAGGACAAAGATAGTAGTACTTGGGACAGATTCAAATGAATCTTAGCTGGTGAGGAAGATGGGCTTGGGCAGATAAAAGACTAGAGGTGGGGGGCAGCAAGGCAAACTTCAGTGGTAATCCAGGCTTAAGGCAATGGGCTAAGGCCAGCCTGTAAATATGGGACAGGGCACATGTGAGATTTTTTTTTTTTAAATGTGTATGAGTATTTTGCCTACATATAAGTAAGTGCACCCATGTCATGCCTATGGAAACCAGAAGAGAGTGTTAGATCCCCTGGAACTGGAGTTATGGACAGTTGTTAGCTGCCATGTGGGTGCTGGGAACCAAACCCCAATCCTCTCCAAGATCAGTCAGTGCTCTGAACTACTGAGCCATCTCTCCAGCCCCCATATGTGAGCTTTTCAAGAGAAGAAACTAGGACAAGTTGACACACTGGATACACTTGGATAAAGAAATGGAAAGAGGAGTCTAAGATGGTTGAAAATGTCTGTTCTGAAGGGTTATGGTTCTATTGAGAGAAAGTAGGAGAGAGTGAAGTCAGATGTAGTGGCATGCACCTGTGATCTCAGCACTTCAGAGGGTGAGGCAGGAGGATCAAGAGCCAGCCTGGGTTACACAGTGAGACCCTGTCAAAAAACAAAAAAAAGAAAAAAGCAAGCAAGCACTAGACACCGCAGAAGGGGACCGTGTAGGATGAAGCCCACTACAGACCTCGGACCTGGACATGCAAAGCAGCCAAGGAGAGTCTAGTCTATTTTGTGTCTATACATGTGTTTATGTGTCTTGGTGACCAAACCCCTGTCAGGAAATTAATTATCCTGCCACCATCTACCCTCAATCCCTTATCCCAGAGGGCTCTAGGGAAAGAGAGTCTAGTACAAAAGCCACACACATTTTAGAGTTCAAAGTGCCAATACTCAGAGCATGCTGAGCCAGGAATTACTCATCTTTAAGGAATATCTCCTTTATCCTCAGCCTGGATAAGCATTTTCTTTGGGAAAGAGGGGCTAGAGAAGATTTAGGTCTCTAACTTTTGAGTTTCAAGGCTGTGATGCTTATAACTGGGGCAGGATAGATAGGAAACAATTATTCCTTGCAAAGCCACAGTTCTAAATCAAAGCATGAAAAAGAGGCCAAGGCCCTAGGCTAACATCTGTTGTTGAGTCAGAGCCTAAACAGACTCAGGCCCTAGCTTGAAAGCATGGCTCTGAGGAATGAGAGGACCCAGGGGATTATCATGGGCCCCACAGAAAACGGCCACTTAGAACAGGGAGCTGGTTAGAGGGGGAAAGCTGCTTTTCATCCCAAAGGACATTATCCTCCTCAGTTAAAGTAAGTTACTTTAAACTGTGTCATGGCAGACTATGCTTTCAAAGTGAAAGTATTTCATGGTAGAACATTTCATGGTGAACAATAATTTAAAACAGGGATAAAGTTAGACATGGTGATGCAAACCTGTAATCCCAGCACTCAGGAGGCTAGTACAGGAGGATAGTTGGTGACTTTGAGGTCAGCCTGAGGTAATAGTGAGACCCAAAGAGAGATAGGATCAGAGATACACATGTGCGTATACACACACACACACACACACACACACATATTAAACAAATCAGCTTTGGGCCTTAGAAACTGAGGGTTTTTTGTTTTGTTTTGTTTTGTTTTTTGGTCTTTTTGAGACAGGGTCTCCCTGTAGCCCCAGCTGTCCTGGAACTCACTATGTAGACCAGGCTTGCCTTGAACTCACAGAGATCCGCCTGCCTCTGCCTCCCAAGTGCTGGGATTAAAGGCATGCACCACTACGCCTGGCTAGTTTTTTTTTTTTTTAATACTTTTACTTATTATTTTTATTTTATGTGTACGAGTGTATTGCCTGCATGTATATGACTACACCTGTGTTGTACAATGCCACGGAGGCCAGAAGAGGGCTTCGGATTCCCCTGGAACTGGAGTTAAGGACGGTTCGTAGCAGCCATGTGGTGCTGGGAATCGAACCCAGGT